AGAGCATAGTCATGCATGTGAATAGTGTTGAGCATACCTCTCCGTTTTTAAAAAGGTTGAGCATGTTATGAATGATTTTGTGACAACTCTTACAACTATTTTTGTGACTTTTGATTCGTTAGCGGTTAAAATGTTCAATGCTACTTGTATTTTGAAAAGGAAGTAAGATTTTTGAACCATCTTGATTGATTTGCAGGCCATGTGTGGTGAGTTGTTGAACAATGCCTTGTGTTCGCTTATGTCACCTAGAACTTGCCCGGTTGGTCTTGATTGAGTTTGGTTGGAGAAATGATCTTAGGCTTTCTTTGATGTTCTTGAAGTCCACTTGGCCTAAAAATCCCACCTTTTCACTAAATATATCCTTAGTTGTCCCCTTTGAGCCTAATCCTTTTTATTGGCAACCACATTGCAAGCCTTATCCTTTTTGAAAAATAACCCTCTTTTGAACCCTTCCCTCTTTGAACTTGAGGTTGTGAAAGTTGGGGCTAAAAGCCTAAGTTGGGGGTGTTATGGGAAATTCATTAAAGGGATGCTTTACCACATGAGGGTTTGATATAAAAAAAAGGAAAAAAAAAAGAAGAGAGAAATTGAGGGATGTAGTCACTTATACCTAAATGATATCCTAACCTTCCCTAAGCCTATATTACATGCTTAGTTTGAGATTTCTAACCAAATGGAGTTGAGTCAATGTTGATTGAATATATGGGCAAGCCTATGGTGTGACATTTGTGTGCATGAGATGATTCTTTGTGAGTGTGAGTGTTGCATCTTTTTCCCTTGTCTTGTTTATATGTGTGTGGTTTTGGGACACTTCTTTCTTGTAAGTTGAGAAAGAGGTACTTTGGAAAATTTCTAGTTGAGTCAAGTGAGCATGTGAATAAGTTAATGAGTTGAGTCATTTCTTGAGTTTGAGTTGTTGTCACTTAAATGATTCTTGGTTTTTGAAAATGTTTCATGCGAATGAGAGGATTTCTTTTGTGAAAAGCTTGCATGTGGAATATTTGTTAGTACCAACCGAAGCCCATTACCTTTGTGCTTAATTGAGAAAGGGAAATTGATTAAGAGCCTCTTGTGTTTTTGATTTTCTTTACTTGAGGACCAATAAAGTTTCTAAGTTGGGGGGTGGGGGGGGGGTGTTGTTGATGAGCGGTGGATTTTCACTCATTTGAGGCTCTTTTCGTAGTTATTTTGACTTGCTTTAGTTTAGAATTGGTGCTCTTTTAATGTGGTTTTTTTTTCATATTTGCACGAAAATTAAATGGAGAATTGATTTAGGAGATACTTGAAGAAACCAAGTGAACTTGAGGCAAAATGAGATCAAGAGCTGAAAATGCAATTTTTGGCAGGGAAAATACCCTTTGCAAACACGCTTGTTGGGTATTTTTATTGATGACGATCGCTTACTCTTTAAACTTATTCCGAGGGTAATTTGAGCATTATCAATTACTTGAGATTTTTGTAAAAAGTTCTAAACATGTGTCTATATTACTTCCTAGTGATGCAAATCTGCAGCTGTTGTGGTGAATGCATGGTCTGAAACAGTTCGATCAAATTGCACTGTTGCTCTTGGAGATTTGGCAGTTCATTTTTCTAATCTGTTAGAGCCATCGACAGAGCATATGTATGCATGATTAATAGATCCATCAGTTTCTGTGCGGAAGAATGGTGTATTTGACTGAATGACATGATGAAGGTTTGGCTGGATTATCAAACATTTATACATATCAAATATAGCATTCTCAATAAGAGTTTGTTTTCTCTCTCTCTCTCTTAGTCTATTGGTTGAGTCTAGGTGAAATTTCTAAGCTTAATGGTTTGTTGCCTTCTCTTTTCTTGGATTAATTTTCATTTTGTGTTTTAAATTTGTGCAGTCTCTCCTGCTGAGTTCTTTGCAGATAACAAAAACATTGCTGGTTTTGACAATGTGAGTTTCTTATATGTTTAGGATGTCTTATAATTTTAACATTTTTCTAATGTTATAATCACACATTAGTTTGATGATTAAGGATGTCTTATAATTTTAATTTTTTTCTACTGTTATACTCACACATTAGTTTTAAGATTAAGGATGTCAATGAAGTAATATTTCCCTGTTGGCATTCGAGTGATATAGAGAAGTAGAATCCAAATATGCAGAAACACCAAAGGATTAGTGAATGCAATCAAAGGGTAATTGCAAAAAAAGAGAAACAAAGTTGCATAATCTCCATAGAACTAAAAATGGAGGCTTTAGTTTTTAAAAAAATATTGCTTTGTTAATTTATTTTTATAAAGTAAAGTGAAGTTAATATTCCTCTTGGTTAATAGCCGTTATGTTGGAGAGCAACAGCTAGTACCTTAAAATTAATTAAAATTTAGGTACCTTTATGAAAGAAAAGGTTGAAAAATTAACCTCCATATGCCCCCCCCCTTTCCCCCGCGGTTAGCATATAATCAGACTGTTGATAACTCATTAATGAATCCTTATACCCCATGTTGAAGTGATGTTCCTATATTCATAAGGATTGTTGAGTAGGTGTAGTTTATTTTTTGGAACTGGTTTCTTGTTGAGTATGTGGATGTTTTTCAGGACACACATTGTTGCCATTAACCAACAAAAGAGAGTCGACCACATTGAAGGGCATGTTGAAGGCATTAAATGAAATAGTGCTCTTCCTTTTTTAATAGCTCAAGATTTTCATGAGGTGCAACATACTTCAACAATGATACACTAAATGCGCTGTTAATTAAGTTAGTGCCAGTTTGGATTGACTTATTTTAGGTGCTTTTAAGCCAAAATAGCTTTTAAGCAGTTTTGAAGTGTTTGGGTAAAGTTAAAAAGTGCTTATAAGCACTTATTTTAAAACTAAAATAACAAAAATAAGACAAAAGTCACAAGTTTGAAATCCCAACTTATGGCTTTTGGCTTATAAGTCATAAGCCAAAAGACAATCCAAACAGGCCCTTAGTCATTCCAAATTTTCAGCTTGGGAAATGTCTTTACACTACTATGAGAGAACTTGTTGAGAATCCACTTGATTCTGCCGAATCCATCTCCGATCTTCCAGTTGTAGAGACAACCATGTAAGTGATTATTTTGTCTATTTTAGATAACTACTTCAATGAGCTAGCAGAGATCCATTAATGGGAACCTCTCTTCAAAGCTTAGTGTTGTTTTTTGTTTTGCTTCTTTAGTGAAGAGATTGGTAGAAGTAAATTCAATTCCATGATTGGTCGGGCTGACCATAGACGTAGATATGAAGCCAGATATGATGATTTTGAGACAGCAAAGGCTCGTAAGGTGTGTAAGCAGTGATTTACTCTCAGTTAGATGGCATTGTGATTTATATTTTATGCTCACTGTTTGACATTTAGCAAATTTCATTAGATGGCATTGTGATTTTTCTAACTACCGTGTCTAGAAAAGACTTGCCAAGGAAGCTCGGGTTCTAGAGATTCAAACAAGGAATGTTGCTCTTGGGAAGAATGTAAAAAACCCTGCAGCTACAAAGGTAGCTAAGGGTAAAGAGGCATCATATTATAGGGTGACATGCAAGGTATGATCTGTTTCTCTTTGTTCTTCTATATGCTGACTCTGCTCTCAGTATGCAAGACAAGAAAAGTACATTGTTGAATTAAATCAATTTGGCAAGTTAGTGGAAGACTATTCTTCCCTAAAAGACTATATTTACTGTACTTTGTTTCTAATATTAGGATAATGGAAGAGGAATGCCACATGATCATCTGCTGTTTGTGAGCGTTATTGCTGTGAACAAAGTATGCATTGAAACAGACACGTGGGAAATTTGGTCTTTGTGCAAAGATGGTACGTTGAGCAATTGGTCTTGACCTGATCATCTGACGTTCTTTTGATTTTACTCTTTTGTGTCTTAGTTATTTGTGTTATATTCCCCGTCTTGTTTCTGTTCTCTCTGTTATAGGAGGTGGTTGCGAGGGTGGTGGATTATGTCTTTGGATTAAGAGAATATTTTTGTACTGTTAGAATGCTTCGTCCAGTGATTTTTGCCTGTAGTTCTTCTTTCCATTTTACTTGTGCTCATCTAGACCTCAATGAATGTGAGCATGTACCATAATTTAAGAATTTTTCCTTTTTCTCTCATTTCTACAGGCATTGATTTGGTCCAAGATGAAATCCAGATTGTCATTGAAAGGAACTGGACAACGTACCGAGTGTGTAGTTCTTGAATAGTTGTGACAGATGTTCTCCTAAGTTTCACCTCATTCATGCGTTGAAAGCAAACTTAGTTAAATAATTCACCTACTATATTTCTGAAAACTGATCTTTTCTTTCTGTATTTACAGTCCAAAGTAGGGCATTATATATATAGCAAATAAACTCGATTGAACTCATCAGTAAAGCTCCAAGGAAAGGAGTACAAGTTCACAAAGTTACTGAGTAACCCAAATCATGCTGATGATCAAAATATTGATTACTTAATCTACTCTTCCAAACAAATTCAACAGAAAGATAGAAGATCATTGAAAGATAAAAATGGAAGTTTAATGTTCCCTTCCCCCCGGGCTTTGGACTAGTGGTGAGAGAGTAGCTCGTGATGTAATAATAGAAGAAAAAGAGCAACATGTGATGTGTGGGTTAGGCACATGTAATGGATCTGAACCTTGCTGCAGACACGAGCCTGGTATTTAAGCTGATAAGTGTAGAGAGGTGGTTCGTTATCCACTAAGTTTTAATTTGTTAGACATTGATTATTTCTTATGAGTGATCATATTTCAACGAAAATCTTTTGCTAGTACGTTCAGTTGTAGAGGCTTCTTTCATTTTTCATCTCATGACATCCCTGAGGCATGGTTATTTATTCAACTTCGATGACCTGGAGCAGCTTACTGTCTGATCAATCCTCGTAGTATCACTTAACTAAGGTTTACACACCTCAAATTATGCCTTCCTTAATCCACATGAACATTAAATGTGACAATTAGGCATGCGCCAAT